CTATAAAAGAAAAAGAAAAAAGCATGTATTAGAATGGTAGACCACACATCTTGAAATGATATTCACAATGACATTCTTAAAGATTAAACTACAAACTCTCAATGCATTTAAAAGTAAATACTTTTTAAGATTAATGGCTAATAATCATAGGTTGATGAGTATTTTATGTACATTTAAATACTAGTAATCTGAAGTCAAACATTCTAATGGAATATTAACGAATGCGATGATAACCAACTTATTAATAAAACAAAATTAAGTAAATTTAATCTGAAATTGTCAATATTTGGCAGAGAAGAAAAAGTAATGCTAGTGAGGTGTTAAATGCTGCATAACAGCACCAATTTATTTCAACTTGTCCTGTAGAGGCATAGTCTGTGCCATATGGTAGACTGTGATTTGTTGTCAATTTAGTTATCTAAAAACAACAAAAATCACTAGTCTTCCACACAGAACTAGACCAATGTCCACTGAAACCTTCTGTGTTTTCTACAGGTTCTATGCAATTTATTACAAGTAGGTTGTTTTGGGTTTTTTTTTTGTTTTTTTTTTTTTGCAGCAATTTGAACCAGAGAAACGAGAGGGCTACTTGATTAAGACATCTTCCATCAAGATTAGTTTTTACAGAGTCTTCATTTTAGTTGGAATGGAGAACAGAAGAGAAGTAAGGCAGAACTACTACTGGAGAAGTTCAACAGTTACTTAAATCCTGCCTGCTAAATATACAGCACAGAGAAGAACTTTAGAGTCCAGTAGGAAGTAAGTTTAAAACTGACAACAAGGACAGCATTCAGCTTCATCAACTTGCCTATTCTGCAGTAAATACTGTGCATTTTGTATCTGGTCCTGTGTTCCTGTAATAGTTATTATTCGGTCTTCTGAGCCTTCTAAGGGTTCATCAATTTTGATTGAAGCTCCTGACTCATGTCGTATCTGTTTGATTCTCTGGCCACCCTTTCCAATAATAGATCCTGCCAACTAGGGAAGAAAAAGCATTCATTTCTTGATACAACGTTCTCTGTAAAAACACAGTACTGTTTGAGTAGCTTCCACCAATTTATTTTGATGAGCTGCAATGAAAGCATACTCTTTTAGAGTCTCAAAACATTTATTACATAAACACAGATGAGATAAAGTTGGAAGAACCAGATATCTGTTTGCAAAACTGAGTTATATAGACTGTCTCTATTACTGAATGTGAACAACTCATAAAATAGTTCAGCGCATCTCTGAAGCGAAGACAAAACAAATATTCTTAAAAATATACTTTGGGTGATTTAAAAGCAGTTGCTTTATATTAAAAGTACTCATCAAGCATCGCAAATGCTTTTGGTTTACTTGCAGTCTGAGAAAAGGCTGTGACTTAAAAAATGTACGTGTAAAGCAAGTCAACTCAACTCACATCTTTGGGAATTGTTACTTGTGTTGTGATGATGGGCCCACCAAGATCTCCATACGAACCACGGCCCCCTGCATAAGAATAGTCTAATTTAAACATATGCATCAAGTCTTTTACTGATTAAATAATGAAGTTAGTGTCAAAGTTCTCTATAAAAACTTACCATATCCAGAGCCACCCTCAAACTATAAGAAAAAGAGAAAGGAAATCCTTAGATATCAAATAATTGTTTCATTCACATAATGTATCATAACATTAACTTTGAGCCTATTTTATGCAAAAATCCTAACCTACATCCTTAATTCAAGTGCAATCAAGGAGGTGGGGAAGGGAGAAGGCTATCTCATGAGAATTTCATAGCTTCCCAGTCAAAATCTCTAAAAGTAAGGAATCAAGTGACACTAAGATCTAGCTACATAAGTTTATCAAGCACTCTTATCAATTCAGCTGCTGAACAGTTCTTGATATTGATCCTTGATATAGACCCTTAACTAAACTAACATTCCAATCAAACGATCAGAGCTCAGCTTGATTACTACTACCTATACAGCTGAGGAGAAATGGAAGTCTTAGTTGGGAACCATAAGTGAACCTAACAACTATCAACCCTCCTACTCCATCTAAATCTTCAGGGAAAAAACAGATAAACTCTAAGAATAGCTTTTATAATTTTATATGTCTATCATAGAATTATAGAATGGCCTGGGTTGAAAAGGACCGCAATAATCATCGAGTTTCAACCCCCCCGGCTACGTGCAGGGTTGCCAACCACCAGACCAGGCTGCCCAGAGACGCATCCAGCCTGGTCTTGAATGCCTCCAGGGATGGG